AGCTATAGATGTTTATATTGCTAAAAATACCTTGGAAAAACAAGCATTCTTACTATGAGAGAGGTAGAGTAATGCCATACTGTGTAACATTCCAGGCAAAGCACTGGCTGATGGCGTAGAGTTTATATCACAGAACGCCTCTCTACTTCATCCATTTTCGCACTTTAATCCTATCTAATCAAACATATGGGCAAAAATCATAAAAAATATCTAATAATATTTAAAATAAATATAAAAAACTTGAATTTGACAGTATTTGAGTGGCTATTTAAAAGCTGTGTAAACGATGTTAACTGTTCTATCAGATTAGCTCAATTATGAAAAACCATCCTGTTATTCATGAATGTATTGAAATATATTTCCCAGTAACAGCCTGCACAAATCACTTCACTTTCACATTTTACTGCACATTACTGTGCATTATGACCTTTTCTGTTGTAACAGCTCAAGGCAAATTTATTTTTCCACATATTCTCTGCGTCCTTCTACACAAAGCCATGAAAACTGTAATTAGCCAAGAATCCACTGAATCATTTAGTTAATGCTGGATGTAAAATGCATGCTAGGAGCTTTGATATTGTGACATGCCTTTCGTTCTTTGATTGCCTTTCCTTATCAGACCATATTACGCTGTTTTCTGATCTCTGTTAGAATGTTGTTTCCTCATCAAAAACATACCCAGAATTTTATTTTGTTTAATTTACACATGTGAACACACAAATCCTGCATATTTAGTTCTTCTTCTCTATTAAATCCCATAAACCGTCACTAGAATGATTTGGATCATTTCAACCCTGGACTTGCTAAAATCTCTGCTGAAATAAAGGTAAAAGGAGCTGTTAACTTGGAAACTACTACTACATGACATCACAAGTTGTGGAGATGTAGAAAGACTAAAAATAAAGGATTTCTCAAATGTGTGAATAAAACAGAACAACTCTAGGTAAGCTTTTGAGGAGGTGACAACATTATAACATGGTTTAAATCTCAAGAGTTTTTTGCGTAATGTAAGACCTTTAATCTTGGTTTAGTCCTGGTTTAGACCCCATAGTCCTGGATTAGTCCTGGTTTAGACCTGGCTTCTCCCCGGTACCTTTCCCCTGGCCTATCCCTCACCCACAGGAATAAAGACTGTAATTATCTGAGAATCCCACAGAATCATTGATGGTGTTATGGTTGCTAAATCACAAATGCCACACGCGTCCTAGTGCTATTAGCTCACCACAATAGAAAAACATCAGCTGTTGATTAGTGGGAACGATATGCGTCTCCCAAATCATTTGAGAAAACGCCCGGAGGATGCATCTGTCTGTCCTGTTCATTAATTTATATCTGAAGCCATCACAGCTCCAAAATACTCCCCTATGTTTCCCTGTCGAGTCTCATCTCTCTCCTGTCTCTCCAGGCAGAGCCACATCCAGCACTGTCTTCCCTTTCATTTACGCCGCCTATTCTATTATAGACTTGGCTGAGAGTGGTTCTGGCTCAGTCTGAGTTCAGTTCTTTATTCGAGATAAGCCCTAATTTTAGTCCTGGTTTGGTTAACATCTAGTTCTGTTTTTTTTTATGTTCCACACTTTTTTGTAATCTGGTTTAATCTGATTTAGGGATGTCAAGGTTATTTGGTTAATGAATAATCAAAACTATTCAATATAATCCTAAAAACTGGTCTTTTTATAAGCAATTTTAAATTCAGCCTTGACTCTGCAAAGTCAAGTAATGTCACATTAACTTTTATGACTCAGAAAGATAGGTTTCATAATTCTGCTCCAAGATTTGAAGACTATATTAAGACACTGTGATGTTTCTTTTCACAGTAATACTAAAATTTGATATTTTTACATGACTAATTGGATCTGAACCTCGTTTTTTTGTTAAATAAATAGTCTAAAAGGAGTGGGTGACAAAAATACCTTGATATTATCTCAGTAATGTCCTAAAATGTGTCTGTAAATGTCTTGGTTGAAATTCAAGTGTCGCACAAAATGTGAATTCATCATAAAATTAACGACAAAAGTGCAGAAATATCACATTTTAACTATAGATTATATATACTATTCCAATTTTGCGTCCAAAACTATTGAGATATTAAAACATTTTTGTTATCTCCCACCTCTATAGTCCATCCATGTTTATTCTAGTTTTTATTCTTGTACTTTTTACGGTGCTTTTTACTATTCTTGCTACATCATACATCAGCCTTATTCCTGTTTTAATCCTGTTTTCATCATTGATTTAGTCTCTTCTTCTTTTCTTTTTTTCTCTCTGTAATACTCCTCTTTCAGATCCTCCCTCGTTCTCCGGGTCCAGCCTTTTGAAGAGACGTGATAGACATCCACACAGTTTCCAGAGTATGCGTCTCTGTGTGTGGCTCTGAACACCGCCTCTCTACCTACAGCTATCGCCTCCTCAACTGTCAACCCCCACTCCACAGATTCGTCTAATATGGAGTATGCGTAGGGCGAACCCGAACCCACCGAGAAGAGCGCCCCCTGAAGCCGTGTCCCGTCACTGCACACATAAAACAGACTCGGGGCCAAAGCAAGATGATGTAGATGAACTTTGAGTTTTATCCTCTTTGGCTCTTTGACTTTTACTGTCTCTTTCTTTGCACTCCACTGGATCAAAATCTCCTCCAAGACATTCAGTGTTTTCTTCACCCCCTTGATCCCACCCGCACAAAGTGGCCGCCACACACAACTCTGTCCCCTTGAATGGGTGCAGCATGTGGGATAACAGTTTGGCTGCCCCCCTTGTAGATAACCGTCTCCCATACCTCAGCTGGTACAATCTCAGCTCTCTGGCCAGAATCCTCTTCCACAGTGCACAATCCGCTGATGTTCCAGAGGTGGTCCCGACTAAGTGACTGTGGATCGGGAGAATTTTTTGAGCAGCTGGGCACGCCACAAGGCCCGAGCAGCTAGACCTGGTGTCCGCCGCCGCTAAAACTCCCCCCTGGAAAATGAATGCCAAAGTGGTAGTTCCATGGGACAGTGGGAACGGTAAAGGAACAGACTGTGAAGACAATGAAGGCAATGAAGTAGCTGACAAGTCAGTGGACTGTGTTAAGAAAAGGTCAGTGGAGATTTGAGTGGTGTGGACTTGTCCAAACTGCAGTGGACTCTCTTCTAAGTACTCCGGCACTGGGATGGAAAATCTAAAAGGGCTCAAAGGTAAGTCACTTGTATAGGTAAGTCCAGTCATATTTTCAAACGGTGATGATCCATTTGACTTGACAGGCCCACAGAAGTCATCGTATTTGCAGAGATCCTGTAGAGCCATTTCAAAATCCTAAAATATCTGTTGTTTGTCAGGTCTGATCTCCAAAAATCCTATCTGGGAAAAGTGAAAGTCATAAAGTACGAAAGAATAGATTGATTTCATCCACCGTGGGGCTTTATATGGGATACAAGCAGCGTACGTTGCATTAATCATCAGCTCTTAGCATCAGCAACAGTTAGCGTTACCTCCGCTCTCTAAGACTTTGATGCACATGTAGTCAGTGGCCCGTGGGTAATTAGTTTTGGCTGCCACATCAGGCCGTTTTCAGATCAGATTTCTTCAAAGTCGTGTGTAGGCGAGGGCCAAAGAGGACGTGGCGGGGCTAATGGCGAAAGGCTTGGCTTGGAGCATATCGTATTAACTTAGACTTTTGGCTTTGATCAATCCTCTGGGTCCAGCTGATAGAATAGGACTCAAAGAGGCAATAGGCTGTATCATCGCGCATATTAGTGTTGAATGGGTAACTGCGGGTTGGCTACTGAGTGTGGTTGGTCTTACAGTGAACTGGCTACAATTCAACAGTAAAAAATGTGCACTATGTCACTTGTTCATTGGTGGTGTACTTGTTTCACCCATATTACACTATTTTCCGATCTATGTTATTAATGTTTCCTCATCACAAACATACCTGGAGTTGTGTTTTGTGTCTTTTCTCAAACAGAAAACACTCCACCTTCTCATGTGATAATACAGTGGTAATAAATTGCTCCACTAGGTTTTTAAACTCCATTCACTTTCACTAGAATCATTTGGATCATTTCAGCCCTAGAATTTACAATCTCTACTGAACTAAAAGTAAAAGGAAGCTGTTAACTTGAAAAAGACTGCTTCGTGACATCACATAAACAAGTAGATAAATAGAATAGGCTAATAAAGGAATGGTATGAGTTTTCTGTTTAAAATAATGCCAGGGAAGAAAAGAAAACCTTGGTGAAGAACTAAAAGCTGCCCAAGGACTGGAGTGTTTGTTTTGTTTTAGTGCAACCCTTGAGAAGTACTTTAAAAGGCCACTTTATATTTTTGTCTTGATTGTACTTGTTTGAATAGAAAACATGTCATAAACACAAACCAGGTTTTGGTTCTGTTGCTATCATTCTCTACATTACTTCTCTTTTAAATAGTAAAATTTAGAATGGAAATTTAAGTCAAGTGCCCGTGCGCTTTTCTCACAATCAAATGACATTCAAATATATTCACACTGAACACTCACAATCATACTACTATCACACATGTAACCCTGTGCGCAAATTTAAAGTGGTAGTTTGTGAAGAAAAGTAGAAAACAAAAAGGTGGAAAATACAGAAAGTAGCAGTGAGTTCTAAAACAAAACACCTCTATATCAACAGGCATCAATTTCATCCCAAATACAGAGACAATTTATTATTATTAATTTATTATAATATTTTTATTTGTGAAATGTGAAAGTAAAATGGTAACATCCACGAAAATGACAAAACTAGAATAGACTAGGCAAGATAATTAGTAAAATATTTTAGTGAAATAAGTGGCCTAACCTATTACATGCAGTGTAAATTGACCAATGACATTTGGTTGGTTCACAAGGTTTGGAGACCTTTTAAATCCTTATGCAAAAGGCTTTACGGAAGTTGTTAAACTAGAATATCAGGCAATTCCTCATGCTGGGTGTATCCAGCCTCAGTCACTACCTGTTCAGGATGTCACTGTACATGCTCTGACTTCCTGATGCATATCTAGAGACTCAGCTAGTGCAAGGTGTACAGGATTAAACGTTCTGTAAATCTAAAAATGACTTCTGAGTGCTTTTTAAAACATGGATATTTCTCTGCATCACTAATTACGGTAGGATTTGCTTTTATTATTATTAATATTGTGTTATGTTTGCCTAAAGGTGCTCTGTTGACGAAGATGGTTTATTTTCATATTTGCTCTAGTTGTTTTCATTGTGTGGTTCAGGTACAGCTCCACTGCTAGTACATAGGTGTGGAGTTTGGCAATTATGATAGAATAGAAAGTTAGTTAAAGCTCCTATATTACACAAAATGTACTCTTTAAACTTTAAGCCATGTTGGAATGTTGTTACCTCATCAAAAACATACACGGTGTTGTGTTTTGTTTCACTCCCACATGTCTGAGTAATCCTTTATTAGTAGTCTGTCCCACCTTGTGATTTCACGAAGTGGTAGTTTAAGTTAGCAGCTCCTTTTACCTTTAGTTCAGCAGATGTTGGCAATTCCAGGTCCGAAACCATCCGAATTATTCTAGTGAAGGTGTATGGAGTTTAAAAACACAGTAAAGCTATTCCTCTATTTCCATATGACATCGCAAGGTGGAATAGAGCATTTTCTTTTAAACAAAGCAAAACTACTTTATAACATAGATCAGAAAATGACGTAATTTGGGTTCTTTAAATCCTGAATTAAAATTAGAGCTTAAGGAGTCATGAGTTTTTAGTTGATATACATTCATTATTTTGCCCATGTATTTTAGTGGTTGGTATTATAATGATGTATGGACAACAGAAAGGAAAAGGCATGGCTTGAGATTTAGTAAAGCTGCTAAGTCTTGCTTTTAATTTTCCTTTTTACATACAAAGACATGTACCTCACTGTTGGCATATTGTTTTTTGTGACTACAGTTCGTCATTCGTATTCATGGTCAGATCCAAGGTCAGATTCAAGTAATAGTGAGCTCATGACACACCCCCTTTAGTTAACTTATTGTTCACAAAGTAAGTCTTTATTTGACAAAACATTTCTTTTGTCAATTACAGCCCTTGACATTAAAGGTGCACTGTGCAACTTTTCTGGTAAGAGTCCTGCACCTGTTTGTGTCCATGGAGATATGCTAGGGAGGTTGCTTTTCCCTAGAATGTACCACAGTATGACATTAAACTTGCATATTATTTAATTGTAGGTGTGTACAATAGAACAATACTTGAAAATATGCGTTCTGCTGTAACTGGATGCACCTCTCCACAAATTGGACCTGTAAATTAGCGGCTTGGTGCATGTTTCCATGCAAGTAGAAATAATTTAATATGCTGTGAAAAATTCAAGGCAAAGCAACAACATCTCCACGGTAGCGGACCCTCCACCTGCAGAGTTACACAATGCACCTTTCATCTAACATGGTTTATGCTTTGTTAAAGATGCACTATGTAACTTTTTGGTTGGGACTCTGTCATCTTCTTGTTTCTATAGATACAGACGTGGACAAAATTGTTGGTACCCCTCTGGTAATGAAAGAAAAATCAACAATGGTCACTGAAGTAACTTGAAATTAAGAAAATTATTTGCCACAGTGCATATTGACAACAAAGCTTCTGGAAACGTGTCTTTTGAACAGATGAGACAAAGCTGGAGCTCTTTGGCAAGACACATCAGCTCTATGTTCACAGACGCAAAAATGAAGCACACCAAGAAAGTAACACTGTCCCTACTGTGAAGCATGGAAAAGGCTTGGTTCTGTTCTGGCTCTGTTTTGCTGCATCTGGCACAGGGTGTCTTGAATCTGTGCAAGATACAACGAAATCTCAAAATGATCAAGGTATTTTGGACCAAATGTGTTTCCCAGTGTCAGAAAGCTTAATCTCAGTTAAAGGTCATGGGTCTTCCAACAGGATAATGACCCAAAACACACAGCTAAAAACACACAAGAATTGTTAAGAACAAAACATTGGACTTTTCTGCAGCGGTCTGTGAGCCCAGATCTCAATTCTATTGAACATTTGTGAAAGGAGCTGAAAGATGCTGTCTGGAGAAGGAACCTTTCAAACCTAAGGCGACTAGAACAGTTTGCTCATGTGAAATGGGTCAAAATACCAGCTGATCAGTGCAGAAGTCTCATTGACAGTTACAGAAATCATTTGTTTGCAGAGTTTGCCTCAAAAGGTTGTGGAACAAAATATTAAGTTAAGGATACCATCATTTTTGTCCAGGCCATTTTTTTTTTATTATTTTTTTTTATAATACTGTTGAACCACAGGTGAAAAGCAATGTTTGATTTTTGTTGGACAATTTCAGCCAATTTTTATTTATTATTGCTTTTCTCAGTTTCAAGATATTTCAGTGATTATTGTTGATTTTTCTTTCATTGCCAGAGGGGTACCAACAATTTTGTCCACATCTGCATGTCATTGCTCTGCCTGGAATGTTCCACAGTATGACATTAAACAGCTATACCATTGTTTCCCTTGTCACGATCTGCATGAAGGTCTGCAACATACAGTTCTGACACATGTTGAAATGTTAAGACATGTTTTGTATAATTTCAAATTTTTTTGTAATTATTTTATTGGCTATTTTGTTCCAATATTGCTGGTTCAACTGAATGTTGAAAAGAAAAAGAAATGGGCTATGTTTAATGTCCAAATAGGCGACTTATGGATATGTTTATTGCTGGTTCATTTACTGTTTTTCATTGTTTAGAGAGACAAGATCACTAAGTCAACAATAAAATATCCTCATTAGTGTTCAATAATGGTCAAAACCACCTTTATTTTGTGATTTACTAATAATGTAGAGGTTTGTGACTTTTAAAATATAGGTCCCCAGAAAAAAAGTTTGGGAAACACGGCTATACCTTACATTTATTAAATTACAGGTGATTTTTTGCCACTCAAAAATACCTTAAAAAAACAGGGATTCTGACTATGAGCAGGGTCGCCTCTCCACAAATCTGACCTGTCTGGTTTGGTGTCCGTGCAGAGAGAAAGTTTTAATACCATACTGTGAAACATTCTTGACAAAGCAATAACATCTCTATGAAGAAAAGCATTTTAACAAACCATACACCAGAAAAGTTACACAGTGCACCTTAAAGTTATGTTATGGTTTAGCTCTGGTTTGTAGACACACTTTTTCTCTTTTTTTGTTCACTGAAGGTGAGACATTGCAAACCAAATACTTTGTTATTGTTCTGTTTACACTTATGTCACTCTCTGTCAGGTCCTCTGTGTGTTACAAGTCATTCCGGCCTCCTCTTCCTCCGTCGGTGTTGACAGCTCCCATCACAGTTTCATTGCGTTTGCTTCTGCTCCTGACAAAGTGGTGGATGGTTCAACAGTCTCCCTGCACTACCACTGCCCCGGGCCGTGTCAGCTCACCGTCCGTGTTTTGGCGACCACATTACAAGAGACAAATTTGGTCATCTTCAGGAGGAAATGGCTCATCCATACGCCCGGGGATATAGGGACACACCAGGTGCTCCTACGATTCCCTCCATCTATTCTATACCGGGGCAGTCTTCATAACAGGGAGGTTTTGGAGGTGGTGGAGCTGACTCTTGGAGCTTGGATACAGCACAAAGATGGTATCAGGAGGGTTTCCAAGCAGCTGCAGATAACTCCTGTTTCCGAGCGTCCAACGAGGCCTCCCACTGAGTGCCCTTCATGGCCCTCACAGCTAATGTGGCGAATAAACACTCTCCGATTCGCTCGCTGCCGGCAGGAGGCAGGTCAGATACTTTTCATAAACACTCTCCTACAAAACCTAAAGTTGTTCAAGAGCAAAGGTGACTAGGTTAAAATGAATATATTTACTTAAGTACTCCAGGCTTACTGTTTAAATATACTTTTGATTTTGAAGCACAGTCTTTGGTGTTGAATGTTAACCTGCCAACTTTGAACCTTGAACTGGTTATTCATTTGATATATTTTATATTTTACTTCTATTGCCTTTACGGCACACTAAAGCACTAAAATGTTGACAGTCAGCCCAGTTAAATCTCATGAGTTTCTGAATGTATTTTAGAAGAATACTACATGTAATAATAAAGGATTTCTTTTACACTACAAAGTAATTTACAACACAAAATAATAAAATTTTCTTTACCTACTCCTAGGTGGTCCTACTAGTTCTGACATAGATTGAGATCATTTTAAAACTGAAGAAAAGGTTCAGTTTTGTTGCACTGATGTGATATTTTCTCATACCAGTACTTGTTGCAAAATGAGTATTTGGTTTCAATACCAGTTTTAGTATTGAGTAGTATTTGTGTATCAATACTTTTGGCAACTCTGCTTGATACATAGAATTTTGAAATTACAGAAGCCTTAAATCTTGAGGACAGTTTTAGTAAATGCACCCACTACTCATGAGCCAATGCAAATCTATAAAGACTGAATGTGTGTGTGTACACAGTGGAGATGGATTTGCTGACGTTCCCCCTGGCCAGCACTGGGGAGGGCTTTGGAGTGGACTGCAGGGTCCAGCCGCTGATCGACACAGACCTAGAGAGACTGCGCCGCCGTGCTGTGACCAAACCAAGGTCAGAAACATCAACAACAACCAGAGTTTTATTTCAGTCATGGACGCCTTTGCAGTAGCAGTTTAAGCACGCAGTGAGACAGTGCGTCCAGGGGAGAGCCAACTGTTGTCAAACCAAGAAAAGCTGAAAAAGGGTCAATGTAAAAGGCCACAGACTATAGACTGCACACTTTTGCAAGAACTCAATAGAATCAGATAAGCGCACAATGCCAGCTGGAAGCAGGTACTATACAATAAAACTATCCCCACTTTGAAAACAGTTTTAGCAGTTAGTTGCTAGAGCTGTGCTTTGTGCTTTTTAATAGTTTTTCTCACATTTGAGTCCCTAAATGACAAGGATATAGGTTTAAATAGCTTTATGATAATAGTCAACAGACTCTACATACAGGGCAAAAACCTGGTTGTGTTTCATCTTGTGATATCAGTGTAATAAACAGACTGTATAAAGAAGTGGACTATGGAACTGTGACATCACCTATAGCGCCAGTCAAATGAAGCTCATGAGGTGAGCAGTTATAGGGGGGGATTTGAAGACAAGTTCCATATTAGGAATAGGAATTTAATAACAAAATAGTGTAAAAAAAAACAAACACAAGGATCATGTAGAGTGGTTTAATATGAATGAAGCCCAAAATGACAAGAGTTGATGGAGCCAGAACCACTCCCATGCTTACTTCCTATTTGGAATGCAGCATCCAGTGGGTTGGCTATGTCCGATACAAAAAAGTTGTTTGTACTTATGTTGGTCTCTGTGTTAGAGCTGCAAGGTATCAAATTAAACTTCACAAAGACTACAATTGAAGTAAAATCATTTCTGTACAAACGTAAACTAAACTGGTACTTCTTATTCTTCAAACATGTAAAAATATTCAAAAATGTATTGGTTTATTTTATAAGTGTCCCTGAATGTCTTAAAATATGCTCTGTGACCTGAATACTAATTCAAATGGAAATTACAAACCTACTTGCTGCAACCGCAATTCTTGTCTTTCCTTTTGCCAAAATGATGCAACCCTCCTACTATTCAATATCCCATATGCTATTTGGCCATAATGAACACAACATTTGTGTATCGTCCAAGGCTGAAGTTTCCTCCATAGAGATTAGCTTGGAGAATACTACGACATCGCAACCAAATAACTTAAACAAATGAGTCCTAAATGATAGCCTGAAAAGTGGCCTGGCAGCAGCAGACTGAGAGGCTCCAGCTCATTGACTGTTTGCTTTTCAGAGTTGGCAGATGTTAGCACAATCTCCACTCACTTACTTTCACTACTCTCCCATTATAAATGACTTTAGTGGCTTCATGACGCCTCCTCACCAGAGCATAAAGCATTTTTATTTATGGTCAATGAAAGACGCCGAGGTCAGTGTTTTAGCAGATTGCACACAGCATTTTTTATTTACTTTGTCTCCACATCACGTCTCGGGAGTTAAACTAAATGATTTGTCAGAGTGAGTTTTGTGGCGTGTCTTTCAGAGTGGCGCTGTCCATGTGGATCTACCTGGTGCAGTGGTGCCAGGAAAAGCAGTGTTCCATCTTCTATCACCTCAACAGAGATGAGAAGTTTGACTCTCCTCTGATCCAGCTCTCAGATACAGGTGGGCAACACAGGCACTGCAAAACAATAAAAACCTGTGATTAAAGGTGCACTGGGTTCAGCCAACTGCCAGTCTCCGTAGAGATATTAATGTCCTGCCTGGAATGTCCCGCAGAATGGCATTAAACTTAACTACCTACATTAAGACAAGCAGGTGACATCAACAGGCTACACTACAGGTCAGATCTGTGAAGAGGAGATTCCCCCCTCGCATTAATAAACACCAGTTATTTAATAAGTGCAAGAAAATAAGTGAAAAGTTGCAATCCGAAAAGTTGCATAGTGCATATTTAAAGAGATTTTAACTTATTTTGAGTGGTTCATGTGAGATTAGGGGTGTGCAAAAATATTGTATTGTTTAATGTGATGATACAGTATCAATATCGTGGGCTGCTGTATTTTTTGGTATATTTTACTAAATTATTTTGTCACAGAGTTACAGTTTTGTTAGTTGTTTAGAGGAAAGAAACTCGTTTATGCGACACATTTGACATTTTTATTGTTTAGAGTAAAATGTTTGTGTTTCATAAGAACTTTGCACAAGAAGTGGTTTAACAAAGACTTTTAGTATCACAGTCATGATTTAGCCATGATTTTTTATTGAACCGTATCGAATCGATTTGAAATATATCGTATTGAATCAAAATCTCACTGTATCGAGAAATGTATTGTATCACGGTATGTATCGTATCGGCAACTTCTTAATGATACCCAGCTCTTTGTGAGATTTTACCTATTTGGTAAAGATGTATAGAGTTTTAGCTGAATTATCTGTGTTTTATCTTAATTATCTGATTTTTTTGCTTGATATCTGCTCGTAACAATGGTGATAGATAATTTTAATGCCAAACTGTGGAACATTTTATGCAAAACAATAACATCTGCATGGAGACAAACAAGCGGTAAACCCTCTACCAAAATTACATAGTGCAATCTTTAGTATCAAAAACAGAATCTTGAACAAAACTCTTCAAATTATAATCAAGGCAATTAAAACTACAATATAATTCTCTGCCTTTTTTCTGTTAAAAACAAAGTCTGAGTGGCAGATCATTAGCATCAATCATGTATAAAACACAGCCTGTCGAATCAATCGAAACTGAAGTCAAAAGAGTCAAAACTTCTCAAAATAAGATAGATATACTGAAGTAATATTACCTCATGTAGATTTGCTGTTGTGCAGTGTGGAGAGTTTGATAGTACAACGATGGGGAGGTGATTGTGACTGATGGTACGTGCTGCGCGTGTCGCTGTGAACAGACTGGTTTATGTTTTAATAAAGAGCGTGTGATCTCTTTATACAACTGTCTCTTCTCTGGTGCAGGCGACCTCATCATTCAAGCCCATTTGACAGAAGGAGGGGACGAGGCTTTCCGCACCAACATGGCCTTACCCCTCTGGACATGGACCCGATTGGACTTGTACTTGGAAGGCACAAAGGTATATAGCTCTTGAAGTCGGTGCGAGTGGGGGGAAAAGCAATAGAAATCTGAATAGAGCTTGTGGCATCTCATCTGACTCCTGCTTTTTCAGTGTCTAATTTCCTTTTGCAACAGCTGTAAGATCCAGAACAATGGTCTTTTCCAGCTGGGGAACTCCGGGCGATTGCAAAGTGTTCTGCAATTTAAAGTAGTTCACAGCTCACCAGTTTTGCCTCCGTGCTGTACTCTTCTGCATTTCACTGTGTCTATAACTTCCAGGTGCAGTTGGACCTAACATGGGACAGTCAAACCTACGTGTCAAACTATGAGTAAGAGATCTTTGTATCATAAGAAACACATTACAGAAACTCACACTCAAAGCCCTAGTGAGGAATTGTTTTATTGATATCTTGGTGTGAAGGGGCTTTAATGCAGGCGTTGTGTAATCTGATTGATCACAGGCTCTTGAAAATATGTTGTTTAAATCAATCAGTTTGTATTTTTTTTCTTTAGTTTTCAGACTTATCTAAAAACTGGCTGTGTGCAAAACAAGTTTACTTACTTATTTAGGATGAAATAACACACTTCATCTAGTCTAAGTGTGAATTATTATGCTTAAAGAGGATGCATTATGTAACAGCTTTTTGAAACTTTCTACCATATCATTAGCCTGATTCATCAGCAAGTTTCACTTCATAAAAACCGTCTGACCTCGCAGTGTTAGAACTCGTTTGCTCGACGGTAGGCGGGTACTTTTTTCATTTAACCAATCTCTGCTATTTGGTCATGACATATGTAATGCACCGCTTACGGGGTTAACTGGTATATTAAACTTTTCCCAAATCCCGTAGGAAGAAGGGCTTGATAAAATTAAAATTCACCAAACATTCTCTTTGTTCCGGCTTTAAATCCTCGATCTCGGGAATAGTTGCAACACAGAATGTATGGCTCTTCGCTGATCGAACTTGTGCTTCCGGGGTTTTTCAGACCTGGCTACAATATCATAACATTCCCTCATCAGAAACATGCCAGAAGAGGTTTTGAGTAATCTAGAGACCTCTCCTGGGCCTGTTTCAAACCCTCCTTATGATTAGCAGTACTATTCTGTCCAATGCTCAGCCCACAAGCCGTCAACTATGCTCCTACACAACAGTTTTCCACAAATATACAAAAGCGTACCAAACACAACAACACACTACAACTTCACGAACCTGATGTAATGTGCTGTTGCTTCATTAAGTGAAAGTGTTGTGTGACGGCGCTTTGAAGGGGGGGTGACTTAGTGCAAGGAACAAAAATAGGAAGGACTTGGAGCATTTAAACAGAACCTTACTAATACTAACATGATAATATGTTGTTTTTAGCAAATATAGCATTTTCAAAACCATAAACGATAATATAACAATCTAAGGACAAGGTATATTTTATTGTTATATTTATGTATTTGATTGATCCTTCAATACCTCTGGGTCTTGGTCAGGACTACCTTAGCTGGCGGATTTATCCTTGTGTATTCTTTAGATTGGATTGTCACTTACATGCAGTATATAATAGTAGTGATGCTTTATACAAAGTGTTTCTTATACAAGTATATTATATTACTTTCACAGGTTTCAGAATAAAATATATTTGGATGACACCGATGGACGCTTTGTGATTGGTGGCAGCCGATACACCAGGGGTATACGTGGATATTATGGCTCCATAAAATACTACAGATTTGGCACTAACAAGGTAATACTGGGCAACGATACAGCGTGTAGGCAAGACTGAGAAATGAGATCGCTGAGAAAATAATAGAGTATCTGATTTTCATTGTTTATGTTTAAGCAATTTGGCCCGTACGTTTATTTTATCGAAGCAACAAGAATGGTTTCGTAATTTTTCAGCTCTATTCTACACTTGGTCTGAATTAAAAATGCAACAAAGAAAGAAGCTGCAAGTTGCATATAGAGTATACAAAGTGAATTCTGCCCCTTGTGGTGAGATGAGTTACTGTAGCTCAGAGAACTCAGTGCAGGTTTTGATATAAACGTGTCAGGATTATGGTGACCTTTTTTTTTTTTGAGGTAGTTGGTAATAATAAAACTGTGAAACATGAATGAAAGTGCATAAATAAGGAAAACTTTTCTGCGCTCGGCCCATTCATGACTAACGTATGAGTCAGTATAGTCTCATTTTTTGTGTTTTGGTCGTTTTTAAGCATCTTTTCTGTATTTTACCCAAACAAATGTCAATTTATGCCTCTTTTTACTGTTGGCAGGTATCAAATTGGTAAAAATAGGGACACCTGGGACATTTCTTGTGTAAAACTGGGACAAATCAATGGTTTTGGATAAATCTGCAGGGGCTGGGGAAACAGGGCTCAAAACTGGGACTGTGTCTTGTGTAAATAGGGATGTCTGGTCACCTAAGTCAGAATACACAAGAGACAAGCAGGTGGTCATAATGTACAGTTGTAGAGTAACTGTTAGTTTAATTAAAGGTGAACTACGCATCTTTTTTGGTGGAGGATCTGCTACCTACTTGTCTCCACAGAGATATTATTGCTTTGCCTGGAATATTCCATGGTATGACATTTAACATAGTCATCTAGCATTTACACAAAAATCCCTTTTGTGAACAGGGACGGCTCTCCACATATTTGAATTGTAATGTCACGTAGTGCTGTCACCTACTTGTGTTCCTTGTGATAGGTAGATTTAATTTACACTGTGGAACATTCGTGACAAAACAATACATTTCCATGGAGACAAAAACATAGTGGACCTTCCAGCAGAAAAGTTTTGCAGTTCACCTGTGAGTAAAATTATCAAGTGAAATACCGTTGTGTCTATTTGTTGCAGATAAGTCACGATCTTCATCCCAAGGACGTGCTGATGGGTCTGTCTGAATTTCATACTGAATGCGAGGAGTTAAAAGACATGACTAGCTCTTACCAGCAGGAAATCACAGCCAGCCATTTCCTGTCACCAGTCAACCAAGGTGCAACATTGTTTTGACATGTTGATCTTCGTATAGAGCGTCAATAAAAACAAATCACACCTATTACATCTACACAAGATTCTGTTTCTACTGTTCTGATTCTGACAGATGAATTTCATGTTTTGCTGCAGGTGTCTGTCTCCCTCACTTTGTCCAAATCCAGAGACAGTTTACCAACAAAACATGCAAGCACAGATGGAGCTGGGAATCACAAAGAAAGCACAATACATTTTTCCACTTCCTCCGAACAATGGAAGAGCAGATATCTAAAGGTTAGCACGGTCTGCACTCAGACTAGTGATGGTAAGTGTCACAAGTGTTTTGAGAAAGTGTTTCATTTTTCGGCAGGAAATTTGAGCTTCAAGCATCTCAGTAGTGGCTTGTTCGATGAGGGAGTTGGAGCGATGTTTACTGGGGACCAGGTGGAAATTAATATGACAGAGAAATCAAGAGCCCTCCTGCGCTCAGCCTCCTGTTTTGGGAATCACAAAGCATCTCTTCTCTTGGCCTCTCTCCATCTTTCTGGGCTGGGACAAGCGGTCGATCAGCCAAAGGTACAGTCAATGCAGTTTTGGTATTTTTAAATTGAAACACTTACAAAGACGGATCGCATCGATTGCTATTTTATTGGTATGCATGTGTGTGTGTTGCAGGGGCATGTCTACAGTTTGATCGGGGCTTTGGGTGATGACCGGTTTGCCCTGATGCATGCTGGGTACAAGCATACACAAGGATTTGATGGCTTTTCCAAAGACTTTGATATGGCCTATAGTTATTACTCCAATGTGGGGGCCCAGAGCAACGTCGATGTGGGAAAAACACATCATAGTTCGGTAAGTTAACAGATGGTAGCATCCATGAGACAAATTCTTCTGAATAAAACTGAATAAATGACTGTTTACTACTATGTATGTAGGCCTGTAACACATTTTGAAGTGTGGTATATTGCTGAAGAAAATATAAATGATAAACAATAATAATTTAAATGAATTTGTGCCACTGATACAAAAACCCAAAAGCAGATTTAAATCACAAACAGTATTCCAAATCTACAATATTGTAAAAAAATCATGAGCTAAAATAAATAAACAACAAATTTAGTACATAGTTTGCATCTGTAATGTAACGTAGAAGTTAAATATTATCATATAACCAAAATATTGGTTGGTGATGATGCAATTAACTTTTTATTTTACAAAAATATATTTCATCACCGTTACAAAAAACACTTTACAATATGTCAGAGTTTATATTTTTATTGTTCATTTTTAAGCCAATTTACCCTTTCAGAAAGCTGAATGAGCTCCTCTTTGGGTTGCCAATTCCATAGACCATTTACAATAAACCCCAAATGACTCATTGTGTCTCATATGATGTGTCCTGTTTATAAGACTAGACAGCCTAGTTGCAGTTACTCCAAGGCCTTTGTGCATCTTGTTGCCCTATTTACAAATGCATTACAAATGAGCTCGTTTTATCACTTCACATTCATCTAAAGTGTATTGATTGAGTCAAGTAATATTGTAAATGTAATGATATGGGTTCCAGACATTATTGATGTTTTTCAGTTTGGCTCTCTTAAGTTTAGAGAGAGTGGAGAACACATGAAGGACATCTTTTTAATGACATTGTAACTCTTTATTTGAATCAGTAATCCTTCTTCAAAAATTGGAAGATACATTCAATGAACACAGATTTAGGACGGTTATCTTGTCCTTTGCATTTCTAAGAATCATAGATAACTCAACTCAAGTGAAGTGAAGTGAGGGAATAAAAAACAGTCTTCATATAAAAGCTATAGCACAGTTCAAGGTATGTTTTGAATAAAAGCGCACAATTTTGTGGTTTTACTTAGGTACTTTCAATTTTAAAAAAAATCATATTTTATAGATAATAAATTTGAATAATGAGTGCACAATTTTTACTTGAGTTTACAGCATAGGGGAAAAATACTTTTTACTGTTTAAGTGTTACTGTTAAAGTATTTTTTTTTATTCACATTTTACACATTTTACACATTTTAGCTATTACTACAGCAAGCAATATATGACTGTATGCCTTTTGTCCTCAAACTTGATTGTATTTTTTTGTATTTGATTTAATGTCAGCAACACATTCTTGAACACATCTATCTATGGAAACTTCAGGACTGGGTTCACAGGGAGGTCGCTGGGAGGGATTTGATGGACTTTCTGAAGTATCAGGCTGAGGGAGGCGATGTGGAGAGCCAGGTGTGTACTAACTGTGTTTTTTATTAGCATGTAAAACTGTGCTGCGTAAGCTAAATTAAGCCCCTTTTAATTTCCTCCTTATGATCCTCTTGGCTGAGTTGTTGTCAGCCAATAAAAAAGTCTATTATGTGCAGAAACACTTGGGAGCCATGCTGTACTGGGGACAAAACGGCCTCTCCAAAGACATAGCGAGCGCTCTGCAGTGGCTGGAGAGGAGTGCCCTGCAGATGAAGGATCCAGAAGCCATGTATGATTACTCCATCCTCCTCATGAAGGTAATCTCACTGTGTTCTCGATTAGGATTTGATATTTTGATCCTGAAAGTTGTAATATCAGGAATGTCAATATACAACATTCACTGTCTGTCAGTCAGTGATATGAGACTGAGATACTGTGACCACCAGTATTAACAATAACTGGGACAATATCTGGTTAATATGTCTAGAATTTGTTTAAAATTTAATTTTAAAAAATTGATGCAGGTTTCAACAATTTCTCTGTCATTGAAAATAAATACATTTTTCCAGAATATCTTGAGATTCATATAGTACGTTTGTGGAACTCGTCACTTACAAATAATGTTAAGATTCAACATTTGTGGATCATACGTTTGGATATTTCTATCAAAAACGATGAATTTAGATACGCGCCTTCCATCACAAATTATGAGCATGAATTGTAGAATGTGAACACAGCCTTCTATTGTTTTTTGTTTTTGTTTTTCATTACAAAGAATAACAGTAACCCCAAAAACAAAGAACATGTACTGCATAACATGTAAAATTTATTTTAACAACTAGGCTCTATACTTTACATCTTGTGCTAATTGGTGTCTAAAGATCAAAAGAATCCACTCATTAAAATGCGCTATGGTGTATTAAATTGATAGCTCTATATCTTTGGGACACAGCTGTTTTATTTACAAACACTAAAATGGTCCATATCTTGTTAAGGCAATCTGCATTATGAGTGAGCTTAACAGTGGATGCTTGGTGCCTGTCTGCGCTTTGACAGCTATTGATTCTGTGATTGATGCGTATCCCTGCAGGGCCAGGGAGTTAAGAGAAACTACACACAGGCTGTGGATCTGCTAAACAAGGCAGCAGAGATGGTACGTGCTCCAGTTCAGTCCAAGAAAGTGTGTTTACAGTCACTGGCTCAAGCGTGTTTCCTTTGGCTGTAGGGCTCAATTAATGCCTTGAATGGTCTGGGCTGGTACCACGGGATAATCCTCCACGACCACACATCGGCGGTGAAATACTTTGAGCAGGCGGCGTTTAATGGAAGCGAGGACGGCATGTTTAACCTGGCAGTTTATCACCTGAGCGGCACCATCCCAGGCCGGCCGCAGAGGAATGAGGTGCGACTATCTCAACCTAATTAAGTGCCTTATAATTAATCCCTTTGATTGGCACAGTTTTCTATTTATTTAATTGTATAGTTTTTATGATGCTGTTAAAACATATGGCCCAATAAACAAAGACAACATCATTGTACAAAGTAGGTGAGTTCATTGCATTGAACATTTTGATTTTGGGTGTTAAGTGAATCACTTATGTCATGTATTCAAAGGAGGAATGCATTATGCATTTTGTCCTCAAACAAAAATGGGTACGCACGAAAATATGAGCATATTTTACTAGGGCCAAAGTATGAATAGCTAACTGGGTTATAGTGTCTCCAAAATGGGGAGGAAAGTCGGCCACCGGGGTCCAATCCAGCAAACAAGCGTCTGTAATGCCACTTCTGATAGAAAAGTGGATTGGGTGGCATATTAGACAGGTCATAGTTTTATTGTTTGGTGTTTATATTGTTAGAGTTAAAGGAGAGAAAAGAGGGTTGAACTAAAGGAAAGAATTGGTCAAATATTCTGTGTGTTTACAGACTGCAGCTTTCCTGCACTTCCTGAATGCGTCTGCACTGGGGCATGTGGGCGCATCAGTGGAGGCTGCACACTACCTGTCCACAGGTGGCCTGAAGGGGGTGTCCCAGGACACACACAGAGCTGTGAGGTAGGAGCTCTTCATTAACTTTGGTGACGAAAGCCTTGTTTTGGACTGTTGTGTGTAGCCCGCAGTCCCTGGCATCTCATTTCAATGACAGTGGCTAATTCAAGGTCAGAACCCACAATTTGCATTTCTAAAAATAAGAGTGGCTGTCACCTCTTTGCTGCAGCCTCACACAGTTTGTGCTTACCGATGTTACTGTGCTTTCTTATGCATTTAAAGAGTCCCTTGCTGCTGCAGCAGCTTTTTATAGATGACCTCAACAAATCATAACTATTTTTAGAAAAGATTGAAATATTTCCAGTTTAAGTGGAGTAAATGATATTGCATAATTCATTAGCCGTCTTTTACCTTCTCTGCAGAATGCTAAAAAAAGTGTGTGAACGGAACGGACATCTTGGATTTATGATCAGAGAAGCTCTCCAAGCCTACCTCCGGGGCTCCTGGTGGGGATATTAATATCCATTACTTTTCAATTGTCCTCATTTAATCACCTGTGTGCGTGCGCTCTGTGGCTGATGTTCACACTTGTGTTATTGTGCTACATCTCAGGCACGAGGCATTCGTCAAGTACGTTTTGGCAGCAGAGACTGGTTTGAGTTTGGCCCAGAGCAACGTGGCTCACCTCTGTGAGGTAAATGATGGCTGCTTTTAGCAGCTGCACTTGTCCCTGTTTAAAATGGTAATGACTCTCACTTTGATTCAGCCTTTTTAACACAACATCAGTGGCTCGTGAAAACACTGTGTGTAATTCTGGTCACATACGGAGGAGCCAAACTGAGCTGGAGGGAAATTATTAGCCACTAATGAAATAACTTTCATCATGGCGGTGCAGCCTCTCACTGTGCTCTGCTTGCAGGAGCAGGATTTGGGTTATGACTGTCAGTGGAGATATCAAAACTACTCTATATTAAACTATGATCCCCATCCTTCCGGTGAGTTCCTCATTTCATTTCGCTCTAACCTCGCTCTCTGCCAATCTGCTCGATAAACAGCAAGTATTTATCTTCGTTTATAGCTCTGCTGAAGATGGGGGACTACTTGTTGGCGTCCTGGAGCTCTGGGCCGGGCTCATTATCCGCTCTGGTGCGGGCCGTGTGGCTGTACAGCCGTGCCGCGCTCATGGGCAGCCCCCAGGTGACACTTCGTCAACTCATCTCTGATCAACACAATCCAACTTTCATGTGCTCAGGCCTGGCCAAACAACAAACACCAATGCACACAGCGTTATGAATACATTCTGTTAATTTTATTCAGAATTATCTTTTGTACAACTTTTCAAAGTCCCACTATAATACATTATATAATATATTGTATTTTCACACAGGGCATGTTCAACTTGTTCATTTTGATGCAACAAGGCCACAGCCTGCCTTCCGGGATCCAGGACTTCTTTAATGTCTCGCGCCACGATAAGCCCAACATTGTTATGGAGAAAATCTTGACAAGGTCTGCTTCTATACCACAGGCTATAATTAAAACTATTACTTAGAACATTTTGAGAGTGTATGTATCTCACATTTTAACTACTGATAATTAACTGAAAGTAACTATGAGGTGCTTTGGCCACAAAATAATAATGCCAAAAAACACACATACATGAATGTTAACTAACAAACTGTGTTAACCGATGTAGAAGTAATGCATTGTAATTACATTGCACTGGCCATATTACATGTTCCTGATATTGTTGACCAATTCGGAAACACAAACCAAGACATTTAGTCCAATGTTACGGACATTCGCACAGTTTTTCTTGAAGGATGTTTTTCTTCATATTGAGGTCAGATCTTCTTGTACTGACATGCCTCTTGCTCTGTTTGTGAGTGTAGATGCGTGGAGAGCGGTAACGGGGAAGAGGGGGTGGAGCCCTGTGCGTTAGCCCTGCTCTGGGTCCAGATGGGGAGAGCCTTGAGGAGCATGAGTCAGAGTGCTCCACAGCATGTCCTGGTAAGCCCATTCACACACACAAATCACACCCACTGTACAACACTTAAGAGCTGAGGATGCTGCCGGGCTGATGCCTAACCACCTTTGATAACACAGTTGCATCCTTAATTATTGAAATCTGTGAAAATGTGAAGAAGAGCCGGGTCAAAAATTCAAATTGCAGAGGTGAAACGAATGAAATAGCAAATTACACAGATTTATGTTAATGTGATGGCAAAATGTTTGTTAGGTTTTTTGTGAGTACTAGTGATTTTTTCCCATATTTGTAGCATGCAGCTTTTGTTAATATATGGTATATATATTTTTTACATTTAAAGGTGCACTTTTCTTGGGAGAGCTCTGCCATCTGCTTGTTTCCATGGAGATGTTATTGCTTTCCCTGGGATGTTCCACAATATAGCATTAGATGTATCTATCACACACATATCAGTTATACATTTAGGGGTGTTTTTATATTGTTTATTTATCAAAAATACCCTGAAAGCATGAATTCTTACTGTGAGAGGGCTTGGTGGCACAACCTGCTTGTCTGCGTGTAGACATATGTTTAATGCTATACTGTGGAACATTCCAGGCAAAGCAATAACATCTACATAAAGACGGCAGACCCTTCTCTAAAAAGTTACATAGTACAGCTTTAAAAAGGATGCAACAACATTCAAACCAGGATTGAACAGTATTGAAAAAAGAAATTCCATTAAAATTCACTTTTATGTCTTTTGTGCAGTTGTTGTTGTCATTTATTAAAAAGACAAATGTATACAGTAGTAATTTATTTATGACTGCTGTGAATAAGGGTCACGGTCATATAGAAACAAATCCATGTGTTTGGTACCTCAGAACTTTCAGTCATGAGACTTTTATATTGTGATACATTGACAGCATTATGACACCCCCATACAAAGCAGCTTAGTGGATATTGGACGATTATATACCTTTGATGCCTTTAATTATTGAAATCTGTAAAAATGTGAAGCGCTGCCAACTCATAAATAAAACATCCCAACTCTATGCTTTGCTATTTTGAGTTTGATATATGATTTATTTATATTTCTCTATAGGTTTGTGCATCGTTCCTCTCACTGTGTGTCATCATTGTCAGCGTGCCTTTGAAGATTTGTCTGGGTAAGTACTTCTCCTGCACAAATTAGCCACAAGAGGGTACAATTTCCCCATGTACACGACCAGAGGTTTTAGTGAGGAGTGAGTGGTGAAGACTTTCAATTATTTATTTGTGTTACAGACATTTTTTAAGAAAGTTCAGCAATTGGTCAGTGGTTAGATATTAACTTTGATCATTTAAACCACTGTAAGATGTAAGGCAGCTATCATTTTTTGTCCAGGTCTGGGCACTGTATTTTTACCCCTGCAAAAAATAGGACCAGTGCCTTGACCGTAGTCTATGCTCCTCAAAAGCTTCAAGTTTGATTCTTATTTGCAGTTTAGTTTTTGCACGTTTTAATTTGAAAGTGGGTTATGCAACTTTTACAGTTTGTATTTGTATTTATTTATTAAAGGGAAGATGCATATTAAAAGACAAAATGATGCAAAAGAGAAACATGTACTTGTAAATATGCAGGACTGTAGCTAAAACTAATTTCCATCCTTAGTCTGGACCAAGGCCAGCCACATAACCCGCACAATTCATAAAACATGACAGAAGATACAATATCTGCTTCAGCATGCATCTCTCACTCATACACTCACAAACACACTCACAAACACACACACACACAACATTAGTATTAAAATATATAGGTCAGACATATACTCTCACTACATGTCTGCTTGTCTCCATGGTGAATGTTATTGCTTTGCCATGGATGTTCCAAGTATGGCATTAAATTTCACACTCACCATGTGAATAATCCGATGACTGCACTTGACCAAATTACAGGTAAGAGGCGAACCCGTTTACAGCATTTTTTACCAATATAAACACATAATTGTAAGTGAAAGATAAATGCCAGGCTGTGGAACATTCCAGCTAAGTTACATAGTGCATCTTTATTACATATTGTAGTTTAGTATTGTAGTATAAAGTATATTGAATTGAATTGTGTGCTGTTTATTGCTTTGCTACGTGGTGTTACTATGTGTTACTACGAAGCTCAAAGTGGGTGCAGTGTTTGGTCCGATAATCCAATCTTTCTTTCTCATTATGTCCAAATGAACAGACCAAAAGCACCCAAGCGCTCGTGTGGTTGCGCAGAGGGCACGGACATCATCTGTCAGCCAAGATGGTATCAACACCAACACAGCAGAGCAGAACGGCATTATGGGAGGAGGGGGCCCTTATATACCAGCAGGCAGCCTCCGGATTAGCGTACAGAATGGGAAGCGTTGGCTATCCCGAACATGTGATTTGGCTTTGACCCTTGCAGGCTTGGTTCTTTGTGCTTTTTGGACCACACTACTGTATCATCTCCTCTGACATACAGCACCCTGGACAATGACTCAAGTGCTGCACTAAGATTATACTCACGAAACTATAACAGTGTTTAAAGGGTGACACACAAGGTCCTGTAGGTGAAGCCTCGGCCGACTCTGTGTTATGGAAATAGAAAGGTGAGGTGATCTGATGCATGACAATGAGTATTTCTGTAAAATATTGTTGATAATGTTGCCCCAGTAACCATTTTCTATTGTTTTGTATTGAGAGGAGAAAATAAAAAAAATCCTAAAATCCCTTCTGGGGTTGTCACAGCAAATTATGTGTTTTCCCGTGTGCAGTGACTTGCATACAAATTTGGCAGGGGTTTTGCTACACTCCTTGACTGGGTTAGTTTAATAATAGTAGTAGTTTTTAAATATATGCTATATTTCAGTGCAATGGTCAGTCAAACTAACAGCTGGTAACTAATGTGTGCAGAATTACTGTTCATACATACCTCCTATCAATCTTAATCAAACTATGTATTTATCTATTATAAAGGATCTATGTAAGATTTTGGTATTGAAGGTCTGTAAACATGACCTAACTATGAAATATGAGACATATTCAAATCAAACATTGCTTTTACTGTTAACAATTGTAATGCAAATTTATTCTTAATTACAAAAACATTAGACATGATGGTGAGGTTGTTTATGTTATAATTTGGTGTTTTGGTTTTCAAGATCATTATCCAATTAGAAAGCAGAATGAGCCTCACGTGAGTCTCTCATTTGGGTTACCAGTTTCAATGTTGAAATCCACTTGTTTTAAACTTAAAAGGGCTCTTTGATCTGAATCCTCGCTACCTAAACCTCTGAACTTGCAGCCAATCGTTAATCCTTTGCAACTGCACTATATGGTGTGTCTGTACACTGAAAAGTTGTGATTGCAGTACCTTTTTTAAACAGTTGAAGTGTAGACTGTTATGGAAGTTTTCAGCTTGTCCAAGAAAGGATGGAAGTAAAAGGCTGGAGACCAATTGGATGTCGTAAGCAGGAGACGTTTATTTACCATCAATAATACGGGCCCGGGGGGAATTGAAACGTCAACATAGTATGATTTCAGAAGTGGATATAGTATGATCTTTGAGTGTTCAAGGCCCTTTTTGCCTATGCTTCTACAGGAGAAGGTTTATAAAGCAAGTGGTCAGACTATGAAGGCCAGTAGACACTAGTCAGACAGCAGTGCCAATCAATCAAACTTTATTTATGGGATTTCATACAAAAATGTAAGACAAAGTGCTTTTCAGTGATTATGCCACATATATATATATATGCCACAATTTAGATAATGGTATGCCAATGGTATGCCAAAAGGAAGATCATGGTGTAAATATAGCTTTTGTGAGTCAATGTTAAACTGGGATGTACGTGGAAGATAAATTACTTAAATTCTCTTACAATTTATTACCTAAAATCTCTGACACAGGCTACATACTAGTACATTTCCTTTAATATTGTATTTATCATTAACAGGAAAAGGAGCAGTGCCATTTTGTGTAGAAGAGATAGTATTTTCTTACTTGAACGCACTGACTATAAATATTACTGATAACACATTCGACATAGTATCATGAACACAGAGTCATTTCCAAAGAGATAGGCCCTTACAAAGAGATATTGCAGGATGTGATGTGGGGGCTGCGGATGTCTTCAGGAAGTCTAATAGGTCAGCCATTATGATTCTACAGTGCATGTGTTATTGTTCCCGTGTGTATTTGTGAGTGCAGGTGATAAGGGGCCCAGCGGAGAGAGAGGCAGGTTGCAGCAGATCTCCACTCAAACATTTGGTCCAAGGACGACTCCACACGGCTCTATTGATTCCATGTGTGGGCAGGTGCTCTTGTGGATTCATAGATAAGATATTAGTTTTACTCACTGCTATTGGAGATAACACACAAACACACACAAATGCACACAAACGCACATACATGGTGGGTTTCCATGCTTTTGGGGACATTACATTGACTTACATTTCTTTGTGGGGGCTGATCCTAAGCTTAAAGGAGCCATATTACGTGATTTTCTCATCGGCTATAATGTTTCCTCATCACAAACATACATGGAGTTGTGTTTTTTTTTTCATTCACACATGTTTAACACACAACCGTTGCATGTTTAGGCTGAGTTCTTCTCTCAGATAGAAAATGTACTGTTCCACCTTGTGATGTCATGTTGGAATAGGCTCTGTTCACGATTACGTCACAAACCAAGAAGACATTTGGAAAGATGCAATGACAACTTCCCAGGCTCATTTTTCTTCATCTCCATGTCACTGTAGCGTACCGTTATGTTTGGCTAATCAACAATTACATTCATACCTCAGTTTTCATCATTTCCCCACTGACACACAACCCTGAGCGCACTGGGTACATTGATTAGAAGAGATGAGTCGCCAATTAAAGATGATTCCAAACAGCACATACTTATGCAGTCTTTATTTTACCGCTGATGACATTTACTTCACTGTGTTTTTTTCACTGCCAGTTTTAATAGATCTATGTTAGGCGAGCTCATGGTCAGTAACTACACTGGAAGTTGTAATCACATCTTTCCAAATGTCTTCCTGGTTTGTGGCGTAAGCATGAATAGTTTGAGTTTTTAAACTACATGGACCTTCAATAGAATAATTTGGATAATTTCAGTCCTGGGATTGCCAGTCTCTACTGAACTAAATGTAAAAAGAAATCACTGTTCATTTGAAAACTACTGCTTCAAGACATCAGAGTGTGGACCTGAGCATTCTGAGCTTTGGGGATGTAGACAGATTAATAATAAAGGGAAACAAAACACAACTCTGGGTATGTTTTTGATGAAGTAATAACATTAAAACATGACTTAAAGCTCATAAGCATTGTGTAATACAGGACTTATAATCATAGTCATTAATTGCCTAGCCTTGATCCAAATATATTTTAGCCCATATCTGGACTTTAAACCATCTAATAACAACATGGGACCTGATTTTTCTCCCCATAAAGGAAACACATAATAAAGACTTGCCCACACTAAGCTGGCACTAAGCTAATATTGGAAGTAAAAGTTGTAAATGTTACTACTACTGCTACTTCTACTAATACTACTGTGACTTATTGTGGCAGGGTTAGAATTATTTTATAGCTGGCTGTGTTAATAAAGCAAATTAAAGTTGTAGATACTACTGCTACTGCAACCTCAACTATTACTACAATGACCCGTTCTACTAATTCTACTCACACGATGAGAAATACTTTAATATCACTATTGTCACTACTAGTATACCATGACAAATTGCACTGTTAAAGTTTTTATATAGCTAGCCTAGTGTTAAAACTGCCAGTACTGCAGATTGTTCCACTGTGCTGCCACTAAAAATACTGTTACTAAGCACTTTCTCACTATGGTCAAATATGAGTCTATCAATTTTGAAAAGAAATAGTAAAAGTAGCTGTAACAAACTATAACTATAAAAGTTAAAGAATGGCCTGAAATCCTAAAGCAAAGTTAAATAAGACTTAGTGCTTAGAGTTGGTGCGCCTGATCCACAACACCGGGCATCTCTGCTCTCATAAAGATAACATCATGGACAATCTCCTTAGAGGGATTTAGTTTCCACTGGCGTTTACGGTTTGTTTCGGACGAGGCGCGTTAGCCCTTAACTGGTATTTACAAGCGTGAGTGTTGTGATGTGCACTTGTTTGGTATTTGAGAAGCTTGTCATTAGCAAAATTGCACCATGCCGAGATCAGGCGCTATGAAGTGTAATTTAGAGATGCAATAATGATGTCCCTCTTTCACACCTTCAGCCCATCAGAGCGCCGTGCTTTTTAAATGAACGGTACACTAATGCAAGAACATCATGTTACTTTTCACTCACTCTTTTGTGCAGTAAACATGCCTGCTGCTCTCAACGTTATGGAGCATCAAAACAAATCAGGACTTAGAGAGTACAGCCCAGAAGCAAAGGGGCAAGACAAACATAAAGGGAATATGCAATAGTACACATCAAAAATACTTTTCAATGGAGTTCCGGGTAAGTTAAATATAAAGTTCCATTTAGATCCATCTCTCAAGAACTGAACATTTATTCATTTCGTAAATAAAGGCTCAGTTTTGAAGTACACATTGTACACTATTTGCTGTATGTAGGTTGATATGGACTCGTCTAACAGTTTATGTTCAGAGTAGGGATGCACTGACTCAACTTTTTCAGTTCTGATACTGATATTGATACTATGGCTTTAAGTATCTGCTGATATCTGATATTAAACAGTCAGTCAGTGTTCTATAAGACCACTGATTGACTTGAAAAGACCCACAAATATTAAGCAAAGATTATAATTTCCATACACACATTTTATTCCATTTTGTGATATCCATCCATACAAATGTGCTCAGACAGAAAAATAATTTATTCTTCGTGATTACATGCATTTTAATGGAATTCCTCATTTAAATCTGATTTTGTGATGTTGAATCATTGATAAGGCCACAGTTGGATGGACCTTGAAGATTACAGTACGTCAGATAAGAACAGCCTTGCACCATCACTACCACTTTTAAATCTTTTTTTTTTACATTTCATTTCCGTGAAATAAAAGTTACTGATTCAACCCTTTTTGCCCTGTTTGATAAAGTACAAAAGGACTGCATTTGCAAATATACAGTAAATATTCGTATGTGATTCTGCCCCTCTGCCATTCCTGTAATAAATGATTTCCACTCTATCAACTTAGCACAAAAATAGCTTGCAAATTTAATGGTATACGCTAATATAATAAGTTGATGTTGCAGTGGCTAAACATCTTATTTAATTACATTTCTTTTCAAATGGTTGGAGCAGCCTCTTTAATAAACCCGGCACCCCCGCTGACAGCACACTTAATCTCCTATGTGAAAAATTATGAGTTGGATCAGCCAATTGGATTTCCATACGACTTGAGTCACAGTACAATGCCTGGGCCCATGAAGCGGTAACATAAACAAAACATACAGTGGATTTCCTGGCAGCTCAATCCGATGCAGCATGTAAACAGTGAGCACATATACATGCAGTGCAGTGAGGGTTGGGGGTGGGGGGTATGGGATAAACAGTACAGTAAAACTATATATAGCAGTGTGCAATTCTCCACCTGAGCATAACATCTGCATATGAAGCTCATGGGGAATGCACTGGAAACTCTACTGAAACATACACACTGAAGCTTAAATATGCAAATATGTGTAACTTTTCTGATGAGAGTCTGTCCTGTGCTTGTCTCTGTGAAAATTTAT